CCTTTACTTCGGTGTTGGAAATGTAAAAAATTGTGTCCGAGTCGCGATCAATGGTGGGTTTACGCGGCGGAGGAGGTGGGGGCAAAGGTGGTTTTGGCAGCGCATTCTCTCGCTTTAGGTCTGCCAAGAAGAGTTCGTCCGACATTTGAGGCGGTTTCACTTTGACCTCAGGTGGAAAGTATTTGATATCCTTCAGCTCAATATCCGAATCGGAATCCGAGCGAAATGTAAATATCGGATTGGCATTTTCAGCACTAATCGCACCCTCAGTGCTATTGTCACCGGTATCGATTATCTCTACAACTAAAATCTCATCGCCACGTTGAACGTTTTCTCGAGTGGTGGAATCATTGCCGCCCGAAGAAAGTGGCTTCATCGAAATAGCTTTAGCGGTTTTGGCCATCAGTTCATCTGTGGGGTTGGTTCTTGAGCTGCTGCCTGTGTAATCTGGCTGCCGATATGAAAATTCTAAATCTTCGCTCTCGTTGCCGATGCCCTCAGATACGTTAATATGTATCTCGATTGCTGCTGGCTCGGGCTTACCGAAGGCCACACTTAAATGTGGGGCCACACTCGACTCCTGTGTGGCATAGTCGGCCCTGTCCACTACATATTGGGTGAAGCGTTCCTGCGGCGCAGCTGGTGGCTTAGTTGTGCCGCCATTTGCATCCACCTCAGCTTCCAGTGGTAGGGCGTAAAAGCCGTCGCTATCCTTGAAATTTGTGGATGATACAATGGAGTCCACTGTAGAGTCGTAGACTTCCACTTGAATGTCAGATATTTTCGATTCCGTTCGCTCATCGCCCAACCTCTTGGGAGTGCTGGAAAATGCTCGCGACTGTTGCTGCTTCTGCTTATGTTGCGATAGTTTTGATGTTTTTTCCTCACCTCCGTGCGTGGTTTTCGTGCTCAACGGCAGACGTGTGGTGCTGATCAATGTCTCTGGAACCTGGAACACAGTCGTAGAAAACATGGGTGTACTCTTTTCCGAAGGTACGTGTACAAAAGTGGTTGAAACAGGCGCTGGCGTTGAAGTTGTTGCGCTTATTGGATCGCTTTTCGCCGCTCTATTCAATGTCATCGCCGGCGCCGCAGTGGTTTGCTCCACCAGTGCGGTGGGCGCAAGGATCTCCACAATGCGGCCGTCACGCAGTTGTGATTCTATGGTGGACTCATGGTGTTGTTGTGGNACCGTAAACCGCATCTCCTCCATGAGAATGGGACCCAAGTAGCCATTGTGTACTGGTTTTAGCGTGGGTGTGGCTGTCGTAGAGTTTTCCATATTTGCTCTTTGGTGTGGTGCGGATGCAGACGTTGGTGCTGGTGTGCTGCTAGTGGAAATATTTTGTGCGCCAAGATCCGGTGCTGTTTTGAATGTCATTGTTTTCGACAACACATCACTTCCGCCGTTATTGCCATTTTCGGTGGCTTTGTTTGCGCTCTTTAAATCATCCACACTGTCAACAAGAGACATTTTTATTGTCCCGGGGGAGGTCATATTTTCAACATGAAATTCCTCGCTCACACTGAGATCAGGCACGAGCAAGTAATGTTTATCGATTAGTTGCTTCTTTCTTGTTTTCTTGACACCATCATGGCCATCATCATC